ACCAGTAATATTGTCCTAGGATAGAAATGTAAATATGAATGTGTTGCCATGCCTTGAATTATATATGTGAACGTAAAAAAATAGATTTCATAAGGCAAATACTAGGTATTGGATCGATTTATCAAACGTTTCGCCGGTTAAGGCTTCATCAGTGATAATGATAGATTTACATACAGCAAATAAATTATACAAGATAGAAATGTATTATATTTACATAATATCAAGATAAAGAGAAGAGAATTTGACACCGAAATTATGAATGTTTTTTACTTTTTATTCATTTTCATGATTACAAGACAAGTAGGAAATAGTTTAGGGAAGAAGAAAAAAGATTAAATCCTCTTGAAGTTATAAGGGCGAGAAAAAGCATATGAACACCAAAACGAGGCACCAAGGRCTCAACAAAGAATTCCATACAAATCCCTGTATTTTRATTCCTCCATAACTTCGTTAGTATTTGGTCTACAGATTCAAAACTTTCCCAAAATACCCATTTCTCATAGTTCTTCCATATGACAGTGTTGAAATTTCCATAATATTGTCAATTGTATAAAATCGATGGTAGGCACTTATGAAAGTGGTCTATTGAAGAGCATAAAAGACTAAAGAACAAGTTACATAAGGTAATGAAGGGTAAGGATAGGCGAAGAAGGCTGTCGAATAGTTAGAAAGAACATTGTCAAGTACCGTAAGGAAGGGGAATAAAGGAAGAGATGGCTAAGTAAGCTTTGAGAGTCAAAGGTACCACAAGATACGACAAGGAACCTACCTGTACGTACACCATYCAACTATCRATCTTCTTATTGCTATGAGTAGGCAGTATATTCTCAATCTCAATCGAAACCCGGTAAACATCTCCTTTATCAAACACAAAGTCTTTTGAAGCACACGAAGACTGACTTAAGTGCGCTTTGACCACGTGACTTATATCAAAACGAGTGGCCGGTGAAACGTTTTTAAGCGTTGAGCCAGCGGTGATGTCAAAGCTTGAGTGTGGATAGAAGTATTCCGGGTCAGCGGAYTTTTCAAAAGCAAGATCTCCTGCACTGCTATTGGCAGACCAGCCAATGACGTCACCTGCCTCTACTCCAACTGACTGGGATGGTGTCAGTGTGAATAGGTTGTGACCAACTTTTGACACGTTGACGATGGCATCTAGATAGTTTTTAATAACGTTTTTAAACATTAGTTAAAACTTAAAAGTTTATTGAGGTTCTGAATTTGTAATTGAATGCAACTTGGTGGCTTTGAGCGTGTGCAAAAATATCGGTGTAAAGTGTAATTCTTTTTTTTAGGGGGGAGGGGGTTAGGGAAAATAATTGAAGGTCCAGTTGCATCCGAGAACCGTTGCAATCGTTTGCTTTATTTTAAAACTAAAGGTCCATCATTAAAAGCTGCTTTCTGATTGGTTYAAACCCCAAGATGGAGATTTTTCGTATGGGAAAAAAATCGCGCAAGTGTTCTCGGAGGCACGTAGGCCTTTAATACAAACAAAGAAATATTGCTTAGTCTGATTATTTACGGAATGTCTTTATGTAGACAGCGGTTTAATATAAAAAGGGTTATTAAGTAAGGAATAGTTTGTTTAAAACATTAGAGCCGTGAAACAGAATCTAACTGCTAAAGCGTGAAAAAGTGCTAACCAAATTGAACAAAATTGAATTCAGTACAATGCCGCATAATTTAATTACTAAAGTTTTTCATGGGTTTTGTGGTTGCACTCTACCACAACAGGAAGTATTTCAATGGCACAAACCTGATATAAGTTRATAGTTGACTAGCGGCAGCGCGGACTTTGAATATGCTGCTTCGTTTATGGAGCAACCCTGAAAACACTTGCCAGTGTACATGCATACGCTACCATTGCTGGGGCACTTAAACTGCATAGCTGACTGACATGTACTGTTACTAGCGATGCATGTTCGCGTGGATGGGCAGAAGACTTGGAGTGACTCGCAAACAGGACGATAAACCTATAAAAACACACATTAAGTATCAAATTTGTAAGATTCCTTTCGTTGAGATACGTTTTACTAAAGACTACTTCCTCTTTTGTACAAATATAGTGAGTTTATTCCTTCCGAATTTTCCAACACAAACTTTGATACAATGATCTTCCATTCTTATGACGTCATTTTGCTTAAGCGAAGTGCATCATGGTATTGATAATAAACCAAGATGGCGGATATTTCATCAAACTAAGGAACCTGCTTTTAAAAAATCAATGTCAGAATTCGTTGTCGAGAACGATTTAGAGGAACAAAAGAAGAAGAAGAAGAAAAAAAAAGCACTTTAAATCTCTCTCACTTTACCTGTAGTCGGATTGGACCAACTTTTGAGGAGTACAGTTCCCAGGCCTTTATACGCCCTGCTTGTGTAAACATGGCCGTGGGTTTGATGTAAGCACCGTCGGACTGGGGAGAGCCACTGATGTTCCCGAATGATGCTTTGGATCCAATTTCTGCCATCAATGCGTCTAGAATGTATGAAACTTTCAGTTAATAACGTCATCAAACAGCGACTGGAACAGTCGAAGATACGACAATGCTACAGCAGTTGATTCATACGTCGTATCTCACATGAACCAAGTGTAATGTATACTTCGCATGAAAAAGTCGTCTGTGTTATCCGCCATATTGGATAAAACACTGACCGAGAGGGGATTGGGACACTTCGAATTCGACGTTTAAATAAAATGCAGTATTTAATTGTTTTAGTCGACCAAAAAAGGAGTTTTATTSTATACATGTGAAGTCCGACGTACAACTTAGTTCTTTAGGTAAATAAAGATAAATAAAGATAGATGGCCGTTAAMSTTAGCGCAGTRGGTGTTMAAAYAATAGTTTGGTGGRACAAAAAATAAGCTTGCGTTTTCGTCATTCTTCTGRAGCACATAACGRTGGATTGCTAAGGTTTGTCACTGTTRTTACCTGACGCGTTAAAGAAGCTCGACGTCGGCTCTTGGGTTGTAATAAACTTTCCTCGCAAGCGACTTCCTTGYGAAGTGGTCGCCATGACAGTTGTRTTCTTCCCTGATGGTATTATCATGGTTGGACATTTTATGCTGACTAAACCCAGTTTGCTTTCAATATGAATCCATTTGGATGAATGAATGGGRCCCGATTGACTGTTTTTGGCTGAAACTCGMACMTGGAAGGAGCCRGTTTGTGTGTACTTGTGGGTGGTATTGCAACAAGTCGAGAGAGCGTACGATTTATCTCCATAATCGAAGACGTATGATGAATTGACTTTGCCTAGAGATAAAAGAGTTGCTTGAAGTTAAGGCATAAATTAATCCCTGCTATGGAGTGATCACCAGGCGTTACTCCTTATAATTCCACAAGTTACATAAATAAAGGTTCATAACGGATAGAAGTAGTTTAAKTCTACAATTCTTGTAGAATCTTAGAAAATTAGGGCATTCTGAAGCCTTCTTCGCAGAATCTATACTCCGTGGGATCCGTGTGTTAAGTTAAAAAACCTGCATGTTTTTCTCGGTCAAGACTACTAACACAGGAAGACCAAAAAAAAAAAAACGTCCGTTTCCGCTGAAGTAGTCTGCGAAGGATACATTCTAGTCATTCCATTGTATCAAATGCGGTAGAGGTTTTTAATCAACATTACTGGCATTTCAATGGACGAAAAAAGGAGAAATGAGGTCATATTAAAAATGGGTACAAAAATTACCTTTAGCAACAGACGCAGTGAGGGTAACGTCCTCCAGTAGAAATCCAAATGSCGGTGCCTCCACAGTTAGCTCAGCGATTGATAGGTTAGTATTAAAGACCCTGATGTAAACATTGCCATCGCATATACCACTAGTACATACACTAGTACATTTGTCATCATTCACCTTAGTAACACTAATCATTGAGTTGCTGCAGAAGCAGCGTGAGCCCTCGGTCGCAGCGTACTTGTATAGGTTGCCATGCGCACAGGCCGAAGTGCATTGTTGTGGTGTGGAGTCGCTGGTTTTGTAGTTTCCAGCCGATACRTTGAACTCCCGGTTGCCTCTGTTATCTGAGTAACAACCAAGATCCCAAACTGAAAGATAATAGATAATTATTGGTTGAGTGTGAGCATGATATAAAGAATTATTGGTTAAGTAAGTGTGAGTTTGATGAAAAATAAGTGGTTGAGGTTGATTATGAAACATTGAATTAAAAACCATTAATAATAATAACCGCAATAATTGTAAATTTGTAAAGTAAAAACTAACGCAAGTAAGTTTGTATTTGTGATCATTTTAATTTGAGCTCGACGTTTCGACGCTTTCTGGCGTCATTCTCAAGAGGAAATACATTAATATATTCAAAAACGTAAAATTATAAGATTGAGCAAAGTCCCATGTGGATATTCCTGGGTGAAGATTTTGGCCTTAACGGAGTCTGAGTCTGAGTCTTAAGTAATTTACAACATTTGCGTCCGTGTTGTATGGGCTTTACAATATCTCGTCTTCGGCTCGAGATTGTAAAATCCCATACAACACGGCCGCTCATGCTGTAAACATATACTAATAACATGTTATTTTCACTAGTGAAAATAACACATTCGAGGTTTCTCCATATAGTGGAAGTAAGAAAAAAGCTATTTTACGACATAACAACAYCAACACTCGAAGATAAAATCCGCATCTCCGCGCGCCCATAAAATATCGACTATATAATAATAACAATAACAACAAAAATTATATGTATAGTTTAAAACACGAGAGAGAGAGTGTTTTAAACGGCTTAAAAAACTCCAACACTAATTTGAAACTCAAATCCGTTAAAATTCTTGGAGAAATTGCCGTACAAATATGTTCAGAGATAAATGGGGCAAACTGATCATGCGCGAATCACTTTACAAAGCACTCTTGTCACCCCACATTGAATACGCATAAAGTAAAATAGAATCGCTCTTGGCTGTTCACTGAAATCGGTTGACATCCGGCATTGGTCAATGATCAGGTTTCAAACCTGAGACCTTTGCTAGGGTCATGGACCTTTATATCTGATAAAGGTCACCCTTATTAGTATTCTTTATATAAAGAATACTAATAAGGAGTGTTTTATCAGATATAAAGGTCCATGCATGTGACCAAATAGGCTCATTCTATTGGCCTAGTAGCTCATTAATTATGTATGAGTTTTTTAA